AAAATTTCAGGAAAAAAAAAAGTTTCAAAAAAAAAAAAAAGAGACTGGCGGTCAACGCCGGAATCTGGCCGGAAAAAAAATATTTCAGAAAAAAAATTATTTTCTGAAAAAAAAAAAGTTTTGGGGGTTAATGTGATATATTTGTTTAAATTCGGTGTCAATGTGTAATATTAAGGAAGTTAGAGTATATGGGTGGAATTGATAAGAATTATATTATTGAGGGTATTTTAGACTAAAGACATGGGGATGGGCTTAATTGAGAAACTGTTTTTTTTTTGTGGACAAAAATGCATTTAAGTCCCATGTGATGGGCCTTTTTGCCATTTGCCCATAAAAGAAAGAAACGCTAGGGCAACCCTAAGAAACCCTAATGTCATATGTGTAATTTTTTTTTCAATTTTTAATCAAATTTTTATCTCCTTAATATTATTCTAAATATTATTTTCGAATTTTATCATATTTGTATCCCCTATATATTATTTTAAATATTATTTTTTAGTTTTATCAGATTTTTGTCTCCTAAATATTATTTTTTATTTTTATCAAATTTTTATCTCCTAAATATTATTATAAATAATATTTTTTAATTTTATCAAATTTATATTTCCTAACTATAATTTTAAATATAATTTTCAACTTTTAGCAGATTTTTATCTCCTAAATATTATTTTCGAATTTTATCAAATTTATATCTCCTAAATAATATTTTAAATATTTTTTTCGAGTTTTATCATGTTTTTTTTAATTTTTTATCTCCTAAATATTATTTTCGTTTTTTATCACCTATAAGTTTTGTTTTAGGATTTTTACATAATGAATTGTTGTTAGAAGTTTTATTGGATATTATGTTGTGTTTATTTTTATTTAGTTTTTTGAACTGAAATTAAGTAGTTATTAGTTTTACTTTTATCGACGTGGATGCTCTTATTTTCGAAAAATTATGAAAATTTTAGAAAATTTCGGCTAAGTTTTGAAATTTTAAAGCTTATGTGATTTCCATTTTTTTTCCGAAATTCCAAAATTTCCGGGCCTTTTGGAATTGTAATGAATTTTTAGATTCCGAAAATTTGGAATTGGAATTGGAATTAATTTTGTACTTCCGAAATTTTTTGGAAATTTTCCGAAAAAGCTAATTCCGATCCGATCCATCCGACATTCACCCCTAGACATAGTTGATGATTTTTTTCCTCATTCAAATTTTCAATCTACTGGTATTAGCTGATTCAATTCATTTGGAAAATTATTCAATAGTAAAGTTTTTTTTTTTTTTTGTATAGTATACTTAATAATGTTCCGGTGATGAATTATTAATGAATAATTATAATAGAATTCTGATCATACGGTACATCAAACGTTTGTTTATATTCTTACAACATCAAAACAATGCAATTTGTTGTCCCGTTCATCAGACGGGTACAATTACTAGTTTATTATAAATTAAAGGAAACGTTCATGTATATTCCAATATTACCCTCAACCATTTATACCCAATTCTTAATTGTAACCCCAATTTACCAATTTTGTCCACAAAATCCAATTTTGACCACAAAAATTCAATTTTGACTTTTGTTTGGAGCATAATTTAATATGCTCCAATTTCATCTTTAACTTAATTTAATCTTAATTTGACCCCAAATTTCACAAATTATTCAATTTTGACCCAAAATTATTTTTTTTCAAAAAAAAAAAATTCAAAATTTTTTTTTTGTCGCCGGATTCCGGCGTTGACTTTTTTTTTTTTTTTTACCTTTTTCTTTTTTCTTTTCTTTTATTCCGGATTTTTTGGCCGGTTTCCGGCGGTCTCCGGCGTCGACTTTTTTTAGTGTTTTTTTAAGTTTTTTTTTTTTTGGTTTGTTTTTGTTTTTTTTACGTCCGCTGCTAAACGTTGACCGTAATTGTGCTGTCACTGACAGTAATTTAACGTAATTACACTGTCAATGACAGTTAATTAACGTAATTATACTGTCATTGACAATACATTTATGTAATTGTGCTGCCGTTGACAGTAAATTAATGTAATATTATTATTATTATTATTATTTTTTTGTTTGATTTGTTGACAAGTCAACGTAATTATATTACTGTCGTTGACAGTAAAATAACTGTAAACACAATAATATTACTCTCAACAACATCAATATTATTAGTTTTTTGGGTTTTTTGTTTTGTTTGAGTTATTCACGGAGTAACGTAATAATATTACTGTCTATTATTGTAATATTACTGTAAACACAATAATATTATTGTGGTTGACGGTAATATTACTATTGTTATAGTAATATTGCTGTCAACCACATCAATATTATTATTTTGTTTGGATTTTTTGTTTGTTTGAGTTATTCACGGAGTAACGTAATAATATTACTGTCTATTATTGTAATATTACTGTGGTTGACGGTAATATTACTGTTGTTATAGTAATATTACTGTCACTCACAGTAATATTAATTCTTTTGGTTTTTTTTTTATTATGTTTACCTTTGTTGAACGGTCAACATAGTAATATTACTCTATTACACAATAATAATGAGTTTTGTTGTGTTAATATTACTACTGTGCTAGAGATTAATATAGCAATATTACTATGTTAAACTGTAGTTTAGTTAATTTTACTGTGTTTAACAGTAAGATAGTTAATATTACTGTCAATCACAGCAATATTGTTGTTTAAACGAAAAAAAAAAAGTTACAGAAAGAAAGAAAAAAAAAAAAAAAAAAATCGAAAAAGTCAACGCCGGAAACCGGCGAAAAATTTCGGAAGAAGAAAAATAAAATAAAATAAAATTAAAAATGAAAAGTCAACGCCGGAATCCGGCGGGAAAAAAAGTTTTTGAAAAAAAAAATTGAAAAAAAAAATTTAGATCAAAATTGAATAATTTGTGAAATTTGGGTCACATTGAGGTTAAATAAAGTTAAAGACGAAATTGGAGCATATTAAAGTATGAGGGGTTATTTTAATCCTTTGGCCTTATTGATAAAAGAGTTTTTTCTCTAGATCTCTTTATAAATAAGTACCCATTGATGAACTTATTTGTAAAGACCCCTACATATTATGTTACATTCTTTTTATTCATTATTTTTTAAGTAATGACTTGACGTATAGTATTCTTTTTTATAAGAATAAAACTTTTTGAATCATAAGTGAAAGGCATTTTTTTTTCTTATGAAATTAAATTATGCTTGATTCTTTGAATAATATGGTGAAAACTTATCTTCACGCAAAGTAATTTAAATGATTCTAAATATACATTTTTCTTTTTTATCTTTTACTCCACATAATTCTGCAAAGTGGTTTTTTTTAATGAAAGTCTTTTTGCAGTTCTTGGAAATTGTAAAGAAAATTTCAACCTAAATAATGATAAAAACACCATCATTTCGCATAAATTTAATTCCTAAACCTAAAAATTCGATCAACCTAAATAAGAAGAAAAATCATTTATAGGAAATTCAATATTATGAAAAACTGTAAAACAAACTCACTTTATAAAGCTGAAAATTCCGAGAAGTAGCCGTTTTATTTCAATGGTAAATGTTTTGTTGTGATGGACGCCAAAATTTTCTATTTTGCAAGAAAAATTTGAAAAGCAAATAAAAAAATAAATGATAACCTAAAAAAAAAACATAAAAAAGATGAAGACAGTACCTTCATTAAAGTGAACTCCTTGTACAAGACTCTAACTCCGTATCTTTGTATCACATATGAATTTTGCAAATGTAATTACCAACTGTTGAACGAAGAACTTATAGAAATAAAAAGGGAGATATATGTTTTGGTTAGTACACGAAATGTGAAAGTGGAGAACTCGGTGAACTCACCAAATTGTTGAAGTGGAGATAAATTGCATTATTTCTTTCAACTTTACATATGATCAACTTTATAATAGCAATCAAGTACATACTTATCACGTAAACCCTTTTTTTTCTCATTCATTCTCCAACTCTTCAAATTCTTTTACTCATTCTCAATTAAGGTGAAATCAATTGCTTATCACATGTACCTATTAATTTGTAGATGCACCTCTACGTGTGGAGTTATTGATTATTATTATTTTTATTTCACTAATTAATTTTACTAACTTAATCACCTACACCACTTTTGTCGATCAAAAAATGGAAGAAACCCAATGATATTCGTCCTTTTATAGATAAAAAAATAATAATAAAATAAATAAGTAAAATAGTATAGAATAGATATGATATAGATAGATTAAAAAACTCTAAAAGTTGCATCTATGATTATATTTATCTTTAAATTTTCAACAAATTTTCTTGTTCGCTTCTCTAATTGAAATTTTAGGAACTTATAAAATATGTATGAAATAAATATATATTCTAATCTAAAAACTCCCAAATTCATTAGTTCATGTTATAAATATTTTCCTTATTGTTTGCTATACTTCTAATATATTTCAACTTCTAAATAATGAAAATACAAAAAGAAAAAATAATAAATACTATACAAAAAAAAAAAAAAGGAAAATCCTGCCATTTCCGGCTCCGAGCTTTGCCATTCAATCTGATAGAACACCCAAAACCGTAATGCATTGTATTTCAGCCCAATCCAGTCGGCTCAACTCCACTTCTACTTCACCATTTGCTGGCCGGGTTTAACTCTATGGATTTAAGAAAAATGGGGAGGTGAAATGGAGGATTTCGGAAACCTATGGGGGATGTCTGGTTTCGGTTGTGTGGAGATGAGGAGTGAGTCGAGGAGTTCAACCCACCAAACTTTTGTAATTTCTTCATCAAATTGTCATAATTCAAAAACTGTCCCTGGTTTTACTAGTGATCGTGCGCAACTTCAACTAGTTCCGTACATGGATTCTCTCATTCATTAGTTGAATGCTAGCAAAACTCATGCGCGAGGCAATACCAGGTTTCTAGTAATAGTCGAAAAACCATGCATTGAAGTGAACTAGCCCTGAAGCTGAAGCTATTAAAAGTGACTGTTAACTATATCATAATAAAACTACCACATAGAAATAAAAGCAAATAGGCTAGAAAACATTAGTATGTGAAGTGAGATATCACGGGTATTCAGTACCCGACATTTGAAACAATTCTTAGAGCTACACTCACAGCAGTAGCAGTGTCATTCAATAAACACAAGACTTGGAATCTTAAGCCCACTTCACATAAACGGGAATCCAAAATACTGAATATACTAATTTATTTAAGGTTTGAAATAACTAATATTGGTTTCTCAGCTCCGCATACATAATGAGGAAAAAAACAACAAAAATCTTGCATGTAAGAAAGAATTTCATGCTTATGAGAGATAGTGTGACAATGTGAAAATCGAAGTTCCCAACAAAATTCGTGAGTTGGGGCCTGGGTATCACGGATAGTAACCAGTAAAAGTGAAACCCCTTCCAATAATCTCACCGGCACAAAACCAAGCAAAACATTCAATACCAAAAAGAGCAGCAATGCCAGCATCCTCAACTTTGAGCTCCTGCCTGTGCTTCCACATGTTCTTTACGTAATCTATTTCCTTCCAGAATGACTCTGTTCTCCCTGGAATGCTGCAATATATATATATATATATATGTAACACTAATGATAACTTATTCCTTTGCCATTACATTTAGAGAAATCGAAGATTCAAAATGCAGTACATAAATCTCGCACAGCTCAGCAAGTTAATCGAACAAACTAAATAACAATATGGTTACTACAATCTTTTCCATCTGACGGACAACCCCATACAAAATTGGCAATAGATGATGACAGTTCCAATTCAACGCCAACACAATTAAATGCCTTAAATATCAACATCTTAGCTTTATGATCGTTTAACTTGGCATCTCTGCCATACAATTACTTGATTATAATAATATGCATTTATGCTCCACTGTCATCTAAATCATGCAAAGGTGGCTGCCTACAGAAACTTAAACGATTCAAAAATTAACAGCACATAATTCCATAATTACATTAATGACTTAGATGCCTCCAAAAAGTCCTCAAATTGAAATCTTTGAAATTCAGGAACCTTTAAAAAAAATACCAAACTCAATTTCCTGTTATGCAAATGCTTATCAATAACAATTCACGTGTAGTTCACATTTCTTGAATTTCAAGGCATGCAAATTGCAAAGCATTTGGTAATTTACGTCTGTACACTAACAATCATAGATAAAAATGATTGTGATCGCAACCTTAAAAAGGAAGGAATTCACAACTTCTGAACCATCTCCGACTGAGGCACACACAGTCCAACAAAATTAACAGTTGAAATCATGCAGAAGAAAAAAAAAAAGATGAACACATAGGAACTCGGTCACCTCAAACAGAACCACCTCGCAAAAAAAGAAAAAAAAAAAAAAAAAGGAGGAGAGAGTTTATAGGAGAAGGAAGTGGATAAGTAACCTGGCAAGACGAGTGTAAAAGAGTTGCTTGGCTAATTCATTACAAGTCTCGACAGTTGGTGGTTCTTTCACATATTGTTTATTTTGCTCCAACATTTGCTTGTAGTAGGTTGTCCCATGCTTCGACACAAATTGTGTTGCCTGACAAGCCTTTGACTGCAATTGCTGTAACTTCGATGCCATTATATTCCAAACTCAATTCTACACATTAAACAAACATATCACGAATAAATAAATGTTTAATCAATAAGAAATTTAGTATTCATCCGTAGGCTAGAATGCACAAATTACTCATGCTCGAGAAAATGCCTGCAGATATTGGAAGTATCTATCTATCTAGTATCACAACCCTTAAAACCATGAAAGGGGGACAAACAATTCTCTTATTTTGAACAAACCAAAATGGAAATCCTCTAACAATTACAAACCACAACTGAACATTGACACTCTACCACAATAATCGTCATTTCAGTTGAATCGTAAAAGGAGAATTATTCTCCTCCAACAAAAAACATTTCTCGTTATCTCTTTCCTCAGAATAATATGAAATCAGTTAACACATAGATCATCATAACTGGGTACAAATAATTCAGCATACATAACGACTCAAACCCTAATACTCAGTACTAAATGGAAAATAGATCAGAGAAATACGGCCAAAACCCAAGAAACAAAACTCTGAAAAATCAAAAAAATAATTGATAGATCGAAGGGTAACTGAATCGTCATTTACCTTTCGTTGGAACTTGAAAGGGAAGCTGTGGTTGAGATGAACAGCCCAACGGGTTTTACCTTTTCTCGCCGCTAAGCTCTTGTTGGAGAGAGAGAAAGAAAGAGGAGGGCTTGTCGCATCAAGTGAAATATTAAATAAAATCAAAAATCCTTCTTATAATTTTCACCTACTCTTAACTATATTTAAATATGTAAATTAGTAGATTCAGACGACAAAATTATTCATCCGTATAAACAACAAGGGTTTGCTATTATCAGTGCGGTTTTTATCATTCGCAGTGCAAAATAATTCATTTTTTTTTTCTTTTCCAAAATCTTATCCAAATCCTATCTCAAACACTCTCAACCTTTAATTCTTGAATTTTTTCAATTTCAGTAATTTTTCGACCTATATCAGTTAGAGCACAAGTATTATCGACATGGATGACAACGGCTTCGATTTTGAGGTGAAAATACACGTTTTTTGTTCATTTCCAACGTTTTTAGACATTTCGTGTTATAACACACGAAATATATGCTTTCATTTCGTGTAATACTATACGAAATATGTCTTAAAATCGTTTGTTGTTTGTTTCGTAGACAAGCATACGAAATTAAAGCTTACATTTCGTAGTAAAACCTACGAAATGGAAGCTCTTATTTCGTGTGGTTTTACACGAAACTGTAGCTTACATTTCGTGTGTTTTTCTACAAAATCCCTTAAATATTGTCTTTTAATTATGCAGGAACTAAAAGAACAATCTCACGATCATAGTCACTTCTTTGAACGTGGTATTGTGTGTGATAGTAGAGAAGCGTTAATTATGTGGGCAAAAGACACATCAATTAGTCATAATCATCGACTGATTAATCATTGTAAATCAGAAAAATATCATGTTTTAACGTGTGCAAGATATCAATCTGGACGACACATACTATTGAAGAAACGTTCTTGTCCGTTCAGGTTAATTGGCAAAAAATCAACGGAGGATGGATTATGGCGATTGAGTGTGAGTAATGGTAATCATAACCATCTGCCGGGTATTGAAAGTTTAACTTATGTTTAAATTTGTATTTGTTTTAATTTTGCATTTTAATGTTTAATTTATGTTTTGGAATATTTAAATTTGTAGCGTTGTGTTTTGCATTTTATATGTTTAACATATGTTTTTGGAATGATTAAATTTGTAAGGTTGTTTAAATGTGTATTTTAATTGCTTCAGTTGTACGTAGTTTCTAAATTCAAATCATAAAACTAGTGGATTAAAATACAAAACATCAAACTAGTAAATTAAATAATTCGTAATAATAATAAACAAGATTAGTAAAATAATTAGTTCCTAATAAAAATAAAAATAAATTATTAAATTAAATAGTTCCTAACAATAATAAAAATGCATAGTCTTAATAATAATAAAAATAAACTTTAAAATTAAATAGTTCATAAAAATACGTAACTGGCAAAAAAACCCGATAAACTACCGTCTCACTCTCCTCGGCGGCTGCACCTCATGATCGTCGTCGTCATCGTCGTTGTCGTTGTCGTTGTCATGGTCGATGCCAATATATCGGGCGGCGGGCTGCATAATATCTCCAAGATCGGCAAACTACTGCATCCAGTCCTGTCCAGTGCTCCTGGTGATCGGGTACAATGCACGTACTATGTGGTAAAAAGCCGGCTGATCTGGTGGCCTCGCATTCTCTCGATGCACTGGAGCCGGGCCTACGTCAGGGTTGTTGATCTTCAGATGAGTTTGATCGGTGTACCACTCCATGTAGTGCTCGTCGACTTCCCCCCGTTGTCGTGCCGTCTTGTATGCGTTGGCACGAATGGAATGAGCCTAGACCATGTCCCACATACCACCCGGAAATGGGTAGTTGACTTTGTACAATGTACCTCTTTGGGACCGCGTGAACATGGCTCCATCGATGGAATCAAGCCGCGCGGAATATCCTGAACCCACCCGAACTGTCGGACGCAACGATCAGGCATATACGGCTCTACAACCCACATGTACTGGATCGTGCCATGATACAACGTACGAGGGATACTCTCGTGTATATCCCGACCATACGGTAGCCACTCGACCTAAACAGAAAACAATATAAATAAATAAATCAAAAAAATCATATTTAAACAAACTACAATCATATTTAAAAAAATATAAATACATAAATATAAAAGACTTACATCATCTGCTGTCATATTGTCGAGTAAACCTCGAATATGCTCAAGCGTGCCCGCTTTTGGCGGCGCGTTCCACCTCTTGCATCGAGGCTGAAACTCGCGGTACCGCTCACTCTCCTCCGGCGGCTGGAATCTCGAGAAATACTCGTATATCCAGCACTGCAATATTTTATTTAAAGATATTAAAATTTATTAAAATATATTAAAATTTACAAAATATATTAAAATTTATTAAAATATATTAAAATGAACAAAATAAGTACAAAATATATTAAAATTTACCTGAAGAAGGGTGGTGCAACCCGCCAAGCCCCCCGACTGTGCTCGGCTGCATATACCCAACTCTCTGTATAGATTGGCCAAACAGGCCGAACCCCACGAATACGTGCCGACTTGATCAAGCACTGAATCCTCGAGCACGTGCATATACCACGGCTTCACCGATCACATGTTTTGTCGGGGAATAAAATTGATCCGTGGAGAAACACCAGGTATATCTGAACTCGGCGTCTCATGGGCGTGTCGGGCATCAACAACTGTCCCTGTATCATCCTCCATGTGGGGGCCCCATGCTTCCATTGTTAGAGTAGGTGACCAACAAGCCAACATGTGGTTGTGGTCTTTCGTATTTATTATGGTAATAAACGAACCTTTATTCGTATTAATGATAAAACACCTTGGCATTCTATATCTTTGTCCCTTTGTCACAAGCATAGATATAGTCCTTACAGTTATTACAAGTACTAGTAATTGATCGTTAGGATCGTGAGATATTTACTTAAGTATTATAACTGTTAAACGTGTTCCTAGTCGAAGGGTTACGCCACCAATGAGGATATCGGCCTTTCCCATTAAGAGACTAGTACTTAGTGTATGTGTACTGCATCTCATCAGTAAACGGTATTGTGATATCGGCATGCATAAGTGGGTGCTCGTAAGTTGACGAGTTCACTGAACTCCCTCACCCTAGAAATCTCTAAGTGGTTCCCAATAATCGAGTAGAGATATCTATGGTATAGTTGTACACCATTAGTCCTTATGACCTAGACATCACCGTGACTTCACTAGAGGACCAGCTGTATCGTGACCTGTCCCTGAGTTCCACCGAGGACCATCCCAAGGGCCAGTGTTCGTGCAATCCGAAATCTAGTGGGAGGTCTGTGCATTGTAGTCGGGGATTCGATCGCTAGAATAGTCTTGGATGTCATGTGTGTTCTGATAGTTTGTAATCATTCTAAGTCTCTGGTCAGAGCTGACAAAGTGATGATTAGAGAATTCGATTCTCTAAGTCATGCACGTAACGATTACAACACTTAGAACGATCGCACCGTCATTGAACAAATAAAGAGGTCTCGATGAACCAATGCCTCTAGTTCAATCGGGACATATGTATCGAAGGGACCGTACTATACGTTAACTATACCTGAAGGTTCTTGCAGGCACTTCATTTGTATCTAGGGAATCATGACGCGTAGTTGCTAGACGCCAATCTTGATTCGTTGGGTGATTAAGGTGAAACGAGTTTCATCTTAATCGTAACTCTAAGGGACGAGTTTTGACCACAAAGAGTTGTGGGCCCACGCTAGCTTACACCTGAACCATCGAGGGTCACACTGCTCGTGCACATGAGATCTTTGAATAAACGGTCAAAGGTAAAATGGTTTATCTTTGCATGATTGGAAGTCAATATGATTGGGTTCAACATTCGTAATTTGGAATTATGAATGAGAATAAGAAAAGGAAAAGAATAGGCGAACATCTTAGTGGACTTTCTAAATCGGGAAGTTTCCAAATTTAGAAAGTGCACTGAATTAGGGTTTCCACTTTTAGAAAGTTGGAAATTGAGAATTGGCACTCGTAGTGACGAGGACATTATAATGATTCCGAAAATGTAATCGTACAATTTTCCGTTCAATGAATTGAGAGAGACGAACAAGTAAATTATTATTATTATTATTATTATTATTATTATTATTATTATTATTATTATTATTATTATTATTATTATTATTATTATTATTATTATTATTATTATTATTATTATTATTATTATTATTATTATTATTATTATTATTATTATTATTATTATTATTATTATTATTATTATTATTATTATTATTATTATTATTATTATTATTATTATTATTATTATTATTATTAATATTAATAATATTATTATTATTATTCATGAGATGGGAGAAAAAATGGAGGAGAGAGAAATAGGTTAGTAGGTATTATGATAGGGGCTTTTGCGAACCTACACCCGGTGAATATAACCGGGTGTGGGATATGCTGACACGTGTCAGCAATTATATTTTTTTTGGAAATTTTATTATATATTTATTTTCCTAAACTAGAGTTGGAATTGATTTTTTTTTCTCTATCCTACTGCTACCGTCTATTTCTACCGGTATTGGTGATTAAACATAAAAAAAAAATCTTTTCCTGGTTTTTTGGTTTTCTCCATTTCGACAACATGAAAATTAGATATCTTCCTCCTCTCCTTTGAGCTACTATATCTAAGAAGTGACTGAATTATTTTTTCATTTCTTGTTTACTGTTTACTGTGTTTGTAAATTGTAAGGTTCTAATTTGTGTGGATTGGGGGGGCGAAAATGGCTGAAATAAAAAGACCCAATGCAAAGAATTTAATCATCGAAAGTAAAAAAAAAAAAATTCAAATTACAGATATATGATTGAATGATTTTTTATGATAAAATTAGTGATGAAAATATGTGAAGGAGAGAAGAATGTGACGTTTGAGAGAAAACAGATCTGCATTACCCAAGTTGGTGGGATTTGTTTAACAAAAAGTCTAACCCCATCTCTAACTATGGTTTATGAATATATTTTTAAAAGAAAAAAAGAAATGAATAAAATACAATTAATGATAAAATAATAATTGCTGACACGTGTCAGCATATCCCACACCCGGTTATATTCACCGGGTGTAGGTTCGCAAAAGCCTTATGATAGGTTTGAAAAG